AGTATGGCATCGGCAGGTGCTGGCATGACAACGGCCCCGCCATTCCTGTGGTCTATGACTATGGAGACGCCCAGAAAACCGCCTCCTACTACTCCCCCCGTGGTCGACGTGAGTATTTGCTGCCCGTGCACGTGAGAATAAACCAGGGGGACGTGGAACTGAGCAGAGCGACAGCCATTAGCATTTACCAATGTGCCATGTGCCTGTCTCTAGTGTGTGCATCTGATTGTCGTGAGGATCCCATGAAGTTCACTTATCTTCCTCCTCCTTGCCGTGCTAAACCAGGCTTTCCTGGTGTTTATTGGCCAGGGAGCACTGTTGGGGGAGCCCCGTGACCCTCTGCAGCCCACGTTTCAAACACTTTGTTCTAACTCCAAAGAACGGGAGCTGCCCAGGGGCAGTTGAGTCTGGGTGACATGATTTTTTTTCTTTTTGGGCCACACCCAGCAATGCTCAGGGGTTCCTCCTGACTCTGTGCTCAGTAATTACTCCTGGCGGTGCTCAGGGGACCCTATGGGATGCTGGGAATCGAACCTGGGTTGGCCACGCGCAAGGTGAACGCCCTCCCTGCTGTGCTGTTGCTCCAGCCCCTGGGTGATGTGATTTAACCATGGATGGTATCCGGGATATCCTGGAGATGGTCCTAGTCCCACTGGTCACCTTGGAAACCTGGGCACATCCTCCAAACGTGCTCATGTCCTCGAAGTGGTCCAAACCCCGCTTTGAAGATATCAGTGAAGCTCTGTAGCACTGTCCTCCCATTGTTCATTGATTTGCTGGAGCTGGTCCAGTAACGTCTCCATCGTGAGACTTGTTGTTATTGTGTTTGGGATATTGAATATGTCACGGGTAGCTTGCCAGGCTTTGCCGTGCGGGCGTGATACTCTCGGTAGCTTGCTGGGTCTCCGAGAGGGGTGGAGGAATCGAACCCGGGTCAGCCACGTGCAAGGCAAACACCCTACCCGCTGTGCTATCGCTCCAGCCCTGCAAGAGCTCATACTCAAAAATTTCAGCTCCTGTGTTCTCGCACCAGCTGGCTGCAAACGCACCGTCCCTACCCGCCAACATTCTAGAACATGGAGGTCTCACCTGTAACCAGGCTCAGTCCTGGGTTCAGGAGCTCCGCTGGGTCCCCGGACATCACTTGAGTCTCCCCCACTTCTCTGAAGCTTCGTTTTCCGCTGGTTTTTGGGAGCTGCCTGCCGGGCAGGTCATCCCATCTCTGGCTCCAAACTCCAAGCTTTGAATCTCGGCTCAGTTCGGATGGAACTAGCTAGAACCAGAAGCAGCTGATAGCAATGTACTGTGTGTCCTTTTATTTTCTTAAAGTGGAAGTGGATTGTTTGGGTCTTTATAGTAATCCATGAAGGAGAGCGATAGCACAGTGGGTAGGGCGTTTTTGCCTTGCACGCAGCCGACCCGGGTTCGATTCCTCCGCCCTTGTCGGAGAGCCCGGCAAGCTACCAAGAGAATCCCGCCCGCATGGCAGAGCCTGGCAAGCTACCCGTGATGTATTCGATATGCCAAACACAATAACAACAAGTCTCACTATGGAGACGTTACTGGTGCCCGCTCGAGCAAATTGATGAATAATGGGAGGACAGTGCTACAGTGCTACAATAATCCACGGAGGAGAAATCTTTGCTGGGGAAAGAGAGCTTGCAGGAGAATGTTAGGGGTCCCCAGGGAGCAGGGGAGGGCGGCGTTGGCTCCATGGTTGCTTCTATCTCCCTGCTAGTGAAATAAACTCTTTGACTTCCTGCATTTTCCTGGGATCTCTCTCTGCTCTTCCTCCCCAGGGGAATTTAAGGCGGGCTTTGTCCAATTCCGGGTGTTTAATAACGAGAGAGCCACCAACGCTCTGTGTGCGGGGATGAGAGTTACCGGATGCAACACGGAACACGTGAGTCGTGGGGAAGTCAGCCTGAGCACATGTGTGTGCGTGTATCTGGGCGCATGCGTGGTGGTGACTCTGTGTGCATACGTGCGTGCACGTGTATATGTGTAGTTCCTGCCTGGTGCATGCAAATGTCGCAGCTTCTGTCACTGTTGGCGTGCCAGGTTCTTTCCTCTGCAAGCTCTGGGTTCGTATCTAAGTCACTGTCATTGTCACGGTCCTCCCGTTGTTCATCAATTTGCTCCAGCGGGCCCAGTAACATCTCCATTTTGAGACTTGTTGTATATCTAAGTAAATTCCTTTATTTCAGAAGTACCACAAAGAGGTGGGATGTGGGGGTGGATCAAGAGAACCCCATAGAGGGCCTGGAGCGATAGCACAGCGGGTAGGGCATTTGCCTTGCACGCGGCCAACCCGGGTTCAATTCCCAGCATCCCATACGGTCCCCTGAGCACCGCCAGGAGTAATTCCTGAGTGCGTGAGCCAGGAGTAACCCCTGTGCATCACCGGGTATCACTGTATTACTGTCATCCTGTTGTTCATCAATTGCCTCGAGCAGGCTCCAGTAACGTCTCCTTCGTCCCAGCCCTGAGATTTTAAAAAGTGCCACATTCGAGGCTCTTTCAGGGTCAGGAGAATGAGACCCATCATTGTTACTGGCTTTTGGCATATTTTTACTGGCTTTTGGCATATTGAATATTGAATATTGAATATTGGCATATTGAATATTGGCATATGGAATATTGAATAGGCCACGGGGAGTTTTCCAGACTCTGCTGTGTGGGCAGGATATTTTGGGTAGCCTGCCAGGTTTTCTAGAGTAAGAACTAGATAATGAGATGTCGGGTGTGACACCCCCCAAAAAAAGAACCCCATAGAGTGAGAGGGAAATGGATGGGGATTGGGGGTGACGGCAGACGGGGGTCCTGAGACATAGTGACCCCTACACCTGCCCCTGCTGTGTGTGGATTTCAGGCAGTGATACCAGCGAAAGAGGTTCACACCTGTGGATCACGGTCTCAGCTTCTAGGAGCACATGTGAGAGCTGTGTGTGCGTGAGTGTGTGTGTGTGTGTGTGTGGCATGTCCAGGCCAGAGGTGCAGGGGTCCGTTACCACAAGAACAGGAAGCCTCCAACCCAGCAGAGGTGATGGGCAGGGTGATGGCAAGGTGATGGACAGCATGCAGTGACAGAGTCGTGATGAGAGGGGGCGGCAGTGAGCAGGTGGCCACTGCCACCTGGGGTCCAGCGCTCTGCGCTTCAGGGGCACACGCTGGGCATCGCCAAGTCCTCACGGAACTCTTCCTGCCCCCAGCACTGCATCGGAGGAGGGGGCTACTTCCCCCAGTGGTCTCCCTGGCAGTGCGGGGACTTCTCCGGCTTCGACTGGAACAGATACGGGAAGCACCGAGGCTTCAGCAACAGCCGAGCCATCACCGAGGCCGCCGTGCTGCTCTTCTACCGCTGACCGCGCCTGGCCAGTCCCCCGTGTCCTCGCTGAGCTGCGTCCCGGCCACAGAGAACCAGCTGCTGTGTGTTAACAGGTGCATCAGACAATAAATCGCATCCACCCTGGCTCTGGTGTCTTGTGATCTTGTACAAATTAAATGAAGTGTAGGGCTATTAATTAATTTATTATTTTTATTATTTTTTATGTAGGAGTACTGCTATTTATTCAGCCACTGGTTAGCTGATTGAATTGGGCATGAACTCCACCTTACTCTTTTTTTTTTCATAGTTTTATTTATTTATTTATTTTTCATCTTACATTTATTTATTGAATCACCGTGGGAAAAGTTCCTAAGCTTTCAGGTTTAAGTCTCGGTCATACAATGATCAAAAAACACCTCTCCCTTCACCAGTTCTCATTTTTCCCCACCAAGAACCCCAAAATACCCCCCTCCCACCCCTCCCAATGCCTGTGAGGCAGATGATTTCTACTTAACTTTTCTCTACATTGATTACATTCATTATTTCGACAAAAGATGCACCATTATTGTTTAGAATTTCCCTCTCGACAATCAGAATTGCTGAAAAGGCATTGTGAAATACTTTGTTTTCTATAGCTGGTTATGAGAATCATATAATGATTTTGGATTTCTGCAAAGAGCCAGATCATTACGAGATTGGTTTCTGTGCATCTGGTGTTATGGCTGTGCCGAAGAACCACTCGTGGGGGGCAACTCAGGACCTCAGTAGGGCGTGAAGGATGAGCCGGTACTGCCCCCCTTCCCATGAGACTAGAGTTGCCCCGTCACCGCCAGCTCATACCTGGCTTTCCTATAATCTCTGAGGCAGTGGCCACCTTGCTGCCAGAGGGGAGAAAAGGCGGAAGGGAGCAACACCCTTTCCCTCCCGGGGAGGCATGGTGCTGTAGTTTAATGCATGGTCCATTCGCTTTTCTGCCGCAAGCTGCCGGGCTCTGGATTAAGTCCTTTTGCCTCTGGAGCCATGACCGTGTATGCGGTCCAGATGCATTTCTGCCAAAAGCCACTGGGATTCGAGATTTGTTTCTGAGTCTCTGGGATTAGGGCCATTAATCAGCTTGATCAGGAGCCAGAGAGGCCGTTCGTAGGTGGCGACTCAAGGTCTGGCTGGGATGGGGAGGAAAGGGCCGGTTCCACCCCCATCTGGTGAGGCCCCGCGTGTCTCATCACTGCAGGCCCAAACCTGACTGTCCAGTGGCCTCTGGAGAATGACAGTCACCAGGCCACCAAGGGGAACAGGCCAAGGCACGAAACCTATTCCCACCTGGAGTGGCCCAGCCCCAGTAACCTACTGCAGGAACAGGACGCACTTCTGCCAAAAGCTTTTGGGTTCCGAGATTCGTTTCTGAGTCTCTGGGATCATGGCCGTTAAGCAGTTCGATCAGGAACCAGAGAGGCCAGGCCTCCAATTATATAGCTGAGCCGGAGGTGGTTTGTGGGTGTGTCTCCCACATACCTAACTTTTGGGTGTTTACTTTCTTGGTAAACTTTGCCCCAAGTTTTTGGGGTCTGTCCAAAGGCACAGCAACAATTTGGGGGTACCTGAAAGCCTGACGGTGCCATCAGGCTGCTGATACACTCGCCTCACAGGTACAGATTGACCTGCTGGGGGCATCATGGGGGTATTAATTTAAATCCTGGGCTGGAGAGATGATACAAAGGGTAGGACACTTGCCTTGTATATGGCCAACTTGGGTTTGATCCCTGGTACCCCATATGGTCTGAACACCACCAGGAGTGAATCCTGAGTGCAGACGACGTGACTGGAAGTAAGAAAACAAAACCAAAACAAGGGGGCTGGAGCAATAGCACAGCGGGAAGGGCATTTGCCTTGCACGTAGCCGACCCTGGTTCGATTCCCAGCATCCCATATGGTGCCCTGAGCACCGCCAGGACTAATTCCTGAGTGCAGAGCCAGGAGGAACCCCTGTGTATCGCCGGGTGTGACCGAAAAAGCAAACACACACACACACACACAAAACAAACAAAAAAACAAAAGCAGGAGTGTCGTGGATTGTGATTATTTGTGTGGACTTTGTGTGTGTGTGTGTATTTGTGTGTGTGTGTGTTACCAAGGATTGAACTTAGACCTCACACATTCTCTGCCATGGACCCCTCCCAGCCATGTTCTATTAAAATCAAGATTTTACCTCTCCTCTGGACTGTGTCACCTATAACCAAGGCAATGTGGGGTGTCTCTAGGTGTTGGATAACATTGGTTTGTCCTTGCTCCTTCCGCAGGGATCTTAGGTTTATTGAACTACTCCCACCACAGTGCTCCGAAGGCACACACACACCCAATTCCGTCAGGCACTAATTAACCCTATATGGCTTTTCCCTTCTTTTATGTTCTCTGCAGGGTTTAGCAATGTCCTTTTTGCATAGACACAGGAAGACAGTAGATGCTATGCTTTTGTAACTTGGCAGTTAATTGAATCTGAATAATATTTACTCCTGGGCATTCGTCATATTTAATTGACTTAAGCCTCAGTTGCAGTTACTTCCTAACATCCCCAGAAAGAGGGTCCTGGTGAGGACCTGAATGGACCCAGGTCAAGTTGTAAGCTACCCTGGCATCGAAAAGGGACAAGCTGAGTGTCACAGGAAGTATAATAAATTAAGAGCACAGTCAAGGAACAAACTCTGTCATGACCCAAAAAGAAGTAACTGAAGAAGGACCCTGCTGGGGTTAGAAAAGACTGATCTGGTCTGAAGACTGTGCTCTGGGACATGTCCCCAGCGAGATGTCCCCAGGAGAGCCACCCTTTAAGCTTAACATACGTCTTACTGTGTTCATACAAAATGACTAGAAATAAATGGATTACTTGCTAAGGAAGGAGAAAGCAATGCACCTTTATTATTATTATTATTATTTTCTTTTATTGGGTCACACCCGGCGATGCTCAGAGGTTACTCCTGGCTCATGCACTCAGGAATCACTCCTGGCGGTGCTCGGGGGACCCTATGGGATGCTGGGAATCGAACCCGGGTCGGCCACGTGCAAGGCCAGCACTGTCACTGCTATGCTATCAGCCTGAACCCCTCAAGTTCTTTTATTCATTTATTTTTGCATTTTGGGTCACACCCGGCGATGCTCAGGGGTTACTCCTGGCTCTGCACTCAGGAATCACTCCTGGCGGTGCTCGGGGGACCCTATGGGATGCTGGGGATCGAACCTGTGTCGGCCATGTTGGCTGCGTGCAAGGCAAACGCCCTACCCGCTGTGCTATCACTCCGGCCCCTGTTATTTTTTTTCTTAAGCTCATGTTTTATTCTTTCTCTTTAGAATGGAGTCCTCATATCTTTCTTGTGAATATTTATTTATGCTTTTAACACAGGTCACATTAGACTTACTTTTAAAGTATTTCCACCCCTTTTATTTTTTTTTACAGTTGTAGACTTACAAGTTGTTGTGCTTGGGTTTCAGTTATACAATGATCGAGTACCCATCCCACCACCAGTGCCCATTCTCCACCCCCACCAATCCCAGTATCCCTCCCACCCCCCAACCCCCATCCCACCCTGCCTCTGTGGCAGGGCACTCCCTTTTGTTCTCTCTCTCCTTTTGGGTGCTGTGGTCTGCAGAAGAGACATTGGGTGGCAATCATGTTCGGTCCATAGACTACTTTCAGCAGAAAGCAATACACCTTTAGATGAATCCCACCCTTGAGCGAACCTCCTTTTAATCTAGAGTACTGAACCTCCAAATGAGATCTTGTCCCTGAGCGAAAATCCTAGAAGAACTTCCCCTGAAGGAAGTATTTTATATCTGTTTATTTTTTTTCTTTTGGGGTCACACCAAGTGATGCTCAGGGGTTACTCCTGGCTCTGCACTCAGGAATTACTCCTGGTGGTGCTGGGAGACCATATGGGATGCCGGGGATCGAACCCGGGTTGGCCACATGCAAGGCAAATGCCCTACCCACTGTACTATCCCTTCAGCCCCACATTTATTTATTTATTTATTTATTTATTGCTTTTTGGGTCACACCCGGCGATGCTCAGGGGTTACTCCTGGCTCATGCACTCAGGAATTGATCCTGGCGGTGCTCGGGGGACCATATGGGATGCTGGGAATCGAACCCGGGTCAGCCACGTGCAAGGCAAACGCCCTACCCGCTGTGCTATCACTCCGGCCCCAATTTATTTATTTATTTATTTTTTGCCTTTTGGGTCACACCTAGCGATGCACAGGTGTTACTCCTGGCTCCGCACCCAGGAATTACTCCTGGCGGTGCTCAGGTGACCATATGGGATGCCAGGAATTGAACCCAGGTCGGCCGCATGCAAGGCAAATGCCCCACCTGCTGTGTTACTGCTCCAGCCCCCACATCTCTTTATTGTTGTGATAATATTCAACCCCGCCTATGTGTACCTCCACACTTCACTAATAACTAACACTTAGAGGATAAGAATAAAGGGTCACTGATTAGCAACCAGCCTGTGGCCCTTCCAACCTTCCTCTGTCACCGTTGGCCAGCTGGGGAGTTGGTTTTGGACCACCAAAAGCACGCACACCCATAGTTTTTGAACTCACATCCAGGCAAGACTTCCTGGTGCTCACAGCCTAGGATTGAGGGGGAGGGTGTTCTGGTTCCCATGGTAACACGCCCCATACTCTGCAAGGTTCTCCCACCGCCCAGGGACCCTGCAGCACCCACCTGTGCTCCTAGAGGCTGGGAGATTGTGACCCTGTTCCACTGATGGTGCTGCCCCAAATCCCTTCTAAGTCGCAGGGCTGAGTGCAGGGACAGCGGCGTTATCACCCCCAGACCTGTCCCCCCAGTACTAACCTGGCAGAACCTCCGAAATAAAATAATTGACTTAAAATCAGATCAAAAGCAAAGAATTGGGTGATCAGCAGATATCAACTGCGCCATCCGCACCCCAGGAAGATAGGCTGACTGAGAGTCAGGGTCCCCTGGGGGTCCTCAGCTCTGCGCTCAACCTGCCTCTCACCCCAGCCTCCACCATCAGCATCGTGGTCCTCCCAGAGGTGCGTCCAGCATCCTTTGAAGCGCGCGGTCTGGGGAGCAGGTGGGTGTCCGTGATAAGGAACCTTGTCACCTCAGGGCCCTGGGGACATCACAGACACAGTCACCTGCCATATGGCCTGACCCGCCTTTGCTCTCAGTTAAACTTCCCCGGAATAAACACGGGCATAAAATACACAGAGAAGTATATGAAACGTCAGTGTGGTTTGCTGACTATGGTAAAACAGAGTCCTAAGACATCGCTACATTGTTACTAAGTTCTTACCAACCTACATTGTTACTAAATTACTGAATGGTTACTTAATGTTACTTAATTGTAACAACTGTTTTTCCTTTTATTCCCTGCCAAACGCCTACATTTTTGCGAAAAGGCAATTATATATATATATATATTTGCTTTTTGGGTCACCCCTGGCGATACACAGGGGTGACTCCTGGCTCTGCACTCAGGAGTTACTCCTGGCGGTGCTCAGGGGACCATATGGGATGCTGGGAATCGAACCTGGGTTGGCCGCGCGCAAGGCAAACGCCCCACCCTCTATGCCATCTCTCCAGCCCCGAGGCAAAAATATATTAAAAATAAAATAAAACACACACAATTTGGCCATTAATCACAGCTGTCTTGTATGATGAGCCAAAGGGGAATTCAGCGAATTCCACCTAGTATAGAGCACAGGTGTGGGGAGGAATAGGACCATTACTTAAGAGGAAAATTGTGTCTGTGTGTGAGCACGGGATGGGGTTTCTCTGGATTCCAACCACCTAATTACGATACAGAAGTTAACAAAGTGAGGGGGTTGGAGAGACAGTATAGACAGAGGCGCTTCCTGGCTTGTGGCGGACCCAGGTTTGCTCCCCACATCCCAGATGATCCTCTGAACAGCGCCAGGAATGATTCCTGAGTGCAGAGCCAGGAGGAACCTTTGAGGATTCTGGGTGTGATCCATCTCTAAATAAAAAGAGTCAATGTGATGAGCACCACAAAGAAACGGGCAAACACAGATGGAGACCTGGAGCCTGGCAGGGCTGATATGGTGGGAAAGGTCCAGGGACCATTGGGAACAGAGGCTGCCGCCCGCTGCCCGCTCTGAGGTCGCAGGGTACGACAGGGGGTGGGGGTATCAAGGGAGGTCGTGGGTGGGACGAGTTTTGCACACAGGGACCTGGTTTCTGGGGTCACCAGGTTGCAGAGAGATGCCCTATAGAACAAGTCGAGTGCCCCCAGAACGTGGGCTCCCTCACCCCTCACCCCTGCAGGAATCAAGTGAGTCAAACACAGCAGTATTTGCCCTGACAGGAGGGGTCAGCGCTGACCAGGTGTTAGGGGCTGTGCCAGCAGGCAGGGACCCAGTCGAGCACCCTTTGATGGCATCTGGTGGCCGAGCTTGTCCCTCGCGGCCCCTGGGGACTTCAAAGGACATCAGAGGGCTTGGCCAGGAGGTGGGGTTCGGGGGATGCACCCATAAAGGTGGCCAGATTCGCGCTGTCCCAGGACTCTGAGCTCGGCTGTGCGGGAGGAAGGACGCGCCTCTGCGTGGTGACCAGGAGCTCAGACCGGACACGCCTGTGGGGGACAGAGATGGCAGCTCAGGTGTGTGAGGGTCAGAGCAGGGGCTGCCCCTCAGGGTTTGGGGCTGGGGGGCCCGATTCCAGAGGGTCCCAGGGGGCTGCTGGCTCAGCTGTGGGGCGCGGTGGCCACTGACCCGTGTCCTGTCCCCTCAGAGGCCCATGTCCCTGCACTGCTGCCTGCTGTTCCTCTCTGTGGCCACCTTGGCCTTGGGTGCAGGTGAGTCTCGGTGGCTCTGAGGAGTGGGTGGACAGGGCAGAAGCCAAGGCAGGGAGGGGGGCTGGACAGGCAGGTGGGGGCAGGTGGGGCCCCCATGGACAGAGAATGTCCCTTTCAGGAGCAGCCACGACTCCAAGCATGCCCGAGACCAGGCACGAGCATTTGCAGCGGAGTTGCAAGGAAATTCAGAAGAAGAATCCCAGAGCCAAAGGTGACTGATTCTCAGCCCTGCAGCAGTCACAGTGGACATGGCTGACCCGGGAGCCCAGTCACAGTGGACACAGAGGACCCAGCACCCGTCAATTCAGAAATACAGGAGATTCTGAGGGGTCGAGGCTTCAGGACCCCCGTGTGGCAGATTTGTCCCTGTACACTGGGATGTTGTGTCCAGTTTCGGGGAACCTGGGGGACACGGGGACCCTGAAGGAGAGATACTGAGGGTTCATGGAAGCTGGCCAGGAGGGCTGTCTCGAGCATCTGCTCTGCACTGTCTCAGCAGTGGGATGGAACCCGGGGCACACATCCCCTCAAGGGACGCCCAACCGTGCTGGACCTCCCGGGCTCCCTGTTTTGGGTTGGTGACCAGGACTCCGTGCTGCTGTCCCCTGCAGATGGTCTGTACTTACTCCGCACTGAGGATGGGGTCGTCTACCGGACCTTCTGTGACATGAAAACAAATGGCGGTGGCTGGACTCTGGTGGCCAGCATTCATGAGAACAACATGAATGGGAGGTGCACGGTGGGGGACCGCTGGTCCAGCCAGCAGGGCAACCGAAGAGACACCCCCAAAGGGGACAACAACTGGGCCAACTACAACACCTTTGGCTCTGCACATGCAGCCACCAGCGATGACTACAAGGTGGGCCCCGGCTGGGCCGGCAATGGGAGCATCGGGCTGACTCCGCTTTAGCAGATGGGCTGGGCATGGGCAGAGGCATGTGGACAGAGAGACCTCTGTGACCTGAGTGAGACTCAGGGACCTGGGGTGTGCGAGGTCCTGGTCTGCTGATTGAGGGGTCTGTGCTGTGTCAGGATCTCCTGCTGGTGCTCTGGGCTCCATGAGGCTGTGTGGGGTGTGGCCATGAGCCTCTGACCACCGCTCTGTGGGGTTTGCAGAACCCCGGCTACTACAACATCCAGGCGGCGGACCTGGCCATCTGGCATGTCCCCAACGATACCCCTCTGAGTTCCTGGAGGAGCAGGTCTCTACTGAGGTACTACACCTACACGGGCTTCTTGAAGAGATTCGGACATAATCTGTTTGGCCTCTACCGGGTATGTGAGTGCAGCTGGAGGTATTTTTTTGGGGAGTCAAACGCCAATGTTTGGGGTGAGGAATGAGTCAGCTCTGTGTCCGGTCACTAGGGTTTTCCTCAGGAGTGTCCAGGGGTCTGTTCACAATCATCTCTCTGTCTCTCTCTGTGTCTCTCTGTCTCTCTCTATCTCTTTCTCTCTCTCTGCTGCTCCCCTAAGATCTGAGCCAGGCACGAAGTGTCTCAGGAGATGTCAGGGATGGGGTGGGACAGGGACATGGGGCTGGTGTGGGGAGACTCAGCCCCTCGTGCATGTGGCCGACGGCTCTGACTCACCCTGGTGGCTCCTGCAGAGATACCCCGTCCAGTATGGCATCGGAAAGTGCTGGACCGACAATGGCCCCGCCATCCCCGTGGACTATGACTATGGGAGTCCCCAGAAAACCGCCTCCTACTACTCCAGAGATAACCAACGTGAGTGTTTGCTGTTTATACTGAGGATAAAGCCTAGATGTTCTGTAGTTCGTGGAACGGAGCAGAGCAGCCTTGACAAACGCGCCCCTGACCCTCACCGGGATGAGAAATCTCTGCGAGCAGATGGACTCACTCCCCTTGACAGGCTGTCAAACGAGGAATAACCCCACTGGTGCTATCTACGCGGGTTAGGAAGTGCGGGTTGCTCCCAGCCTAGAAACTTAGTGTAGATTTTTCATCTTCAGGAACGGACAGCAGCTCTCAGTCCTATTACAAGGACAGATCTTGCAGGACAATAATCTGCGGAGTCTTGAATGGGAAAAGAGATTTCAGGGTGCATTGGGGGCTCCCGGGGGCGGGTGGGGGTGGCAGGATTGGGCCACAGGCTGGTGCTACTGCGTGGCTGCTCCCGTCTCCCTGCTCAGTCAAGGGGTTCCTTGGCTCCTTCCACTGACGTGAGACCCTTTTCTGCTCCACAGGGGAATTTGATGCTGGATTTATCCAATTCCGGGTGTTTAATGATGAGAGAGCAACCAACGCCCTGTGTGCAGGGATGAGAGTTACCGGATGCAACACGGAACACGTGAGTTTGGGTGATCAGCACGTGCACACGTGTACATGCATATATGTCTATGCTAAGGGTACATGTATGTAAATACTGTGAATGTGTGTCCATGAATTCATGCTTGTGCGTTTGATATCTCTGTGTGAGTGTGTGTATGTGTTTGTGTGTGAGTATGTGTGTGGGTAGTGTGTGTGTGAGTGTGTGTGAGTGTGTGTTTATGTGTTTGTTTGTGTGAGTGAATGTGTGTGTGTGTGTGTGTGTGTGTGTGTGTGCTCTCACAGCCACTTCCTTCCTGGTTCCGGGATCTCCCTCGTTCCCCAGTGCCCATCACACACCTTTTTTTTCTTTTTTTGGGGGGCACAGCCAACAATGCTCTTGGCTCATGTTCTCAGGAATTACTCTTGGCAATGCTCAGGGACCATATGGGATTCTGGGAATCACACCTGGGTCGGCTGCGTGCAAGGCAAACGCCCTCCCCACTGTGCTATTGCTCCAGTCCCCCCCATCACACATCCTCTTGCAGTGATTCCTCCAGGAACAGGGAAACTCCATGACGGTTATCTGGGACCTCATTTAGGGACAAAAGTGTCAGCACATCACTGAATCCACGGTCACTAGTGTTTCTGTCTCAGCACAAACATGGGTTACCTGCAGAGACTCGAGCTCAATCCCGGAGCTGCTGGCTCTGGCCAGGGCACACCCTGATGTCGAGATGGGAGGACTGTGTTGGCACCAGATGCATCAGAGACTAACCGGGCCAGGGGGAAGAGGGCTTGGAGACAAGGAACCAAGCGCTCCACCCTGGGTCTGAGGGGAGGCAGTTTGCAGAGATGCCTGAGCTCTGCTAGATTTGGGGTATCGCTGCGGGCTGCAGGGCTTGGTTGAAACAACCTCTGAGCAATACACGACATTGTCCAGAAGGCCAGTTGGCACCCCCGAATCAGGGCTGCCTTGGTGACGGATCAGTGACCCATTTGCCATATTGCGAGGAATATCATGATAGATCAGGATGTATGAGGGGTCAGGGAACGTTGGTGGCAGGTAAGGGATAGGGCCACACACCGGGGGCCTGCAGACTGCTGAATCAGCACTTCTGGGCACTGTGTGACGTGGGGCACTGGTTGTGACCAAGACTAAAATGACTGGCTGTGTTTGGGACTTGGCCGCTGTCCTGTGTCAGTGACAGGAGGCCCAAGTCAGGTGAGAATAGGGTCCCTCACTGTCCTCAGGTAGCTCTGAGCACTCGTGGGGACCAGGCACTGGGCAGGGCTTAAGCTGGGTGCAGACATTCAGGGGGAGGCCGGGAGCAGGTGAGCCAAACCCCAACAGGAGGTTGAGGGGGGCTGATCCCTGGGGAGGAGCATCCAGGCTGGCCCTTTTGGGCGCTGCGAGGGGCAGAGGGCTTCAAGGACGTAGGAAGCAGGAGCTCCCTCCTGAGCCTTGTGGGGAGAAGGATTCGGGGCTGGGGGATCCCAGCCCAGAGAGGGGAGCCAGATCTGGGCCGTGAAGTCCTCAATACTCTCTTTGCTTCTAGTACTGCATCGGAGGGGGCTACTTCCCCCAGGGCAACCCCAGGCAGTGCGGGGACTTCTCCAGCTTCGACTGGGATGGGTACGGGGCTCACACTGGACGCAGCAACAGTCGCGCCATCACCGAGGCGGCCGTGCTGCTCTTCTACCGCTGACCGTGCCTGACCACTCCTGGTGTCCACGCTGATCTGCATCCCATCCAAAGAGGACCAGCTTCTGTGTGTTAAACAGATGCACCAGACAATAAATTGCATTCGCCTTGGCTCTTGTGTCTTGTGATCTTGTACAAATTAAGGGAAGTGTAAGGGGTATTAATTTATATCCGGGTACAAAGGGCAGGGCACTTGCCTTGCAAATGGCCAACCTGGGTGTGATCCCTGGTAGCCTTTTAAGATCTGAGCACCGCTAGGAGCGATTCTGATTATAGACAATGTGACCCAAAGCAACAAAACAAAACAAAGTCAAAAACAGGAGTGTTGTGGATCGTGATTATTTATGTGGTTTGTGTGTGTGTGTGTGTGTGTGTGTGTGTGTGTGTGTGTGTGCGTGTGTTTGTATTTGTGTGTTTTTCTTTGGATGGAACTCAGACCTCACACATTCTCTGCCATGGACCCTCCCAGCCACGTTCTATTAAAACCAGGATTTTTCCCCCTCCCATAGACTGTGTTACCCATCACTTGAGCACTGTGCGGTGTCACTGTGGACACTTCCTCACTGCTTCATGTTGCAGAGTCCTATTCCCATGGTTACAGGCCCTTCCTCTCATAGCCCTGCCCCACCGCCAGGGACCATGCTGCACCCACCTGCGCTCCTAGAAGCCGGGAGACAGTGACCCACGCATGGGAATCCTGTTCCACGGATGGCACTGCTCCATACCCTCCCCAGTTGCAGGGCTGAGTGCAGGGGTGGCTTCATTGTCACCCCCAGACCTGTCCCCCCAGTTCTGTCCTGGAGGTAACTGACATAAAATAATTGACTTAATAAAAAATCAGATAAAAAGCAAAGAACTGGGCTGTCGGCAGCTACCCCCTGTGCCATCTGCACCCAGGAAGACAGGCTGAGACTGAGAGTCAGGATTTCCTGGGGGTCCCCAGCCTCTGCGCTCGGACCCGCCTCTCACCCCAGCCTCCACCATCAGCACCGTGGTCCTCCCAGAGGCGCATCTGGCCTCCTTTGAAGGGCGCAGTCGGGGGAGCAGGCGGGTGTTTGTGGTAAGGAATCCTGTCATCTCAAGGGCCCCGGGGACATCACAGACACGATCACCCACTGTATGGCCTGACCCGCCTTTGCTCTCAGTCAAATTTTCCCCAGAATAAACACGGACATAAAATACAGAGAGAAGTATCTGAAACGGCAGTGTGGTTTGCTGACTTTGGTAAAACAAATAGTCTGAAAGACATTGCTACATTGTTACTAAATTCTTACCAACCTACATTGTTACTAAATTACTGAATGGTTACTTAATTGTTATTTACTTGTAACAATTGCTTTTCCTTTTATTCCCTGCTCTAGCACAGTGGGTAGGGCATTTGCCTTGCATGCGGGCTGGAGCGATAGCACAGTGGTAGGGCATTTGCCTTGAGCGCAGCCGGCCTGGCCGAGCCGGGTTCAATTCCTCCATCCCTCTTGAAGAGCCCAGCAAGCTACCGAGAGTATCTTGCCCCCACAGCAAAGCCTGGCAAGCTACCCGTGACGTATTCAATATGCCAAACACAGTAACAAGTCTCACAATGTTACTGGGCCCGCTCGAGCAAATCGATGAACAACGGGAGGACCGTGCTACCGTTGCTACCGTGTGGCTGACACTGCTGCCCCGAGTTCGGTTCCTCCCTCCCTCTCAGAGAACCAGCAAGCTACGGAGAGTATCTCGCCTCCACGGCAAAGCCTGGCAAGTTCCCCGTGACATTCGATCGATAAGCCAAACACAGTAACAACAAGTCTCACAATGGAGACTTTACTGGGCCCGCTCAAGCAAATCGATGAACAAGGGAGGACTCTGCTTACAGACAGTGCTCCATTTCCTGCCAAACACCTAAATCTTTTGTGAATAGTAGGAGATTATTGGAACATTTCATGTAAATGTAACAATGTTGGGTGTTCAATGAGTTTAAGAAAGAAAATGATTTCCAGTACAGAAGCACTATCTTGTGTATCTGTTAAAACACACACTCTGGTAGTCCAAGCGATAGCACAGCGGGGAGGGCATTTGCCTAGCATGTAGTCGACCCCGGGTTCGATCCCCAGCATCCCATAAGGTCCCCTGAGCCCCGCGAGGAGTAAGTCCTGTGTGCAGAGCCAGGAATAAGCCATGAGCATCGTGGGTTATGACCCTAAAAAGGCAAAAATATATTAAAAAGTAAAATAAAACTCACACAATTTGGCCGTTAATCACAACTGTCTTGAATAATGAGCTAAAGGAAAATTTGGTGAATTCCACCTAGTTTTGAGCACATGTGTGGGGAGGAATAGGACCATTACTTAAGAGGAAAATTGTGTCTGTGTGTGAGCATGGGATGGGGTTTCTCTGGATTCCAACCACCTAATTACGATACAGAAGTTAACAAAGTGAGGGGGTTGGAGAGACAGTATAGACAGAGGCGCTTCCTGGCTTGTGGCGGACCCAGGTTTGCTCCCCACATCCCAGATGATCCTCTGAACAGCGCCAGGAATGATTCCTGAGTGCAGAGCCAGGAGGAAGCCCTGAGGATCTCTGGGTGTGATCCACCTCAAAATAAAAAGAGTCAATGCGATGAGCACCACAAAGAAACGGGCAAACACAGATGGAGACCTGGAGCCTGGCAGGGCTGATATGGTGGGAAAGGTCCAGGGACCATTGGGAACAGAGGCTGCCGCCCGCTGCCCGCTCTGAGGTCGCAGGGTACGACAGGGGGTGGGGGTATCAAGGGAGGTCGTGGGTGGGACGAGTTTTGCACACAGGGACCTGGTTTCTGGGGTCACCAGGTTGCAGAGAGATGCCCTATAGAACAAGTCGAGTGCCCCCAGAACGTGGGCTCCCTCACCCCTCACCCCTGCAGGAATCAAGTGAGTCAAACACAGCAGTATTTGCCCTGACAGGAGGGGTCAGCGCTGACCAGGTGTTAGGGGCTGTGCCAGCAGGCAGGGACCCACTCGAGCACCCTTTGATGGCATCTGGTGGCCGAGCTTGTCCCTCGCGGCCCCCGGGGACTTCAAAGGACATCAGAGGGCTTGGCCAGGAGGTGGGGTTCGGGGGATGCACCCATAAAGGTGGCCAGGTCCGCGCTGTCCCAGGACTCTGAGCTCGGCTGTGCGGGAGGAAGGGCGCGCCTCTGCGTGGTGACCAGGAGCTCAGACCAGACACGCCTGCGGGGGACAGAGATGGCAGCTCAGGTGTGTGAGGGTCAAAGCAGGAGATGCCCCTTGGGGTGTGGGGCTGGGGGGCCCGATTCCAGAGGGTCCCAGGGGGCTGCTGGCTCAGCTGTGGGGCGCGGTGGCCACTGACCCGTGTCCTGTCCCCTCAGAGGCCCATGTCCCTGCACTGCTGCCTGCTGTTCCTCTCTGTGGCCACCTTGGCCTTGGGTGCAGGTGAGTCTCGGTGGCTCTGAGGAGTGGGTGGACAGGGCAGAAGCCAAGGCAGGGAGGGGGGCTGGACAGGCAGGTGGGGGCAGGTGGGGCCCCCATGGACAGAGAATGTCCCTTTCAGGAGCAGCCACGACTCCAAGCATGCCCGAGAATGGGCACGAGCATTTGCCGCGGAGTTGCAAGGAAATTCAGAAGAAGAATCCAGAAGCCGAAGGTGACTGATTCTCAGCCCTGCGGCAGCCACAGTGGATGTGGCTGACCCGGGAGCCCAGCCACAGTGGACACAGAGGACCCAGCACCCGTCAATTCAGATATATAGGAGATTCTGAGGGGACGAGGCTTTGGGACCCCCGTTTGGCAGATTTGTCCCTGTACACTGGGATGTTGTGTCCAGTGTCGGGGAACCTGGGGGACACGGGGACCCTGAAAGAGAGATACTGAGGGTTCATGGAAGCTGGCCAGGAGGGCGGTCTCGAGCATCGGCTCTGCACTGTCTCAGCAGTGGGATGGGGCCCGGGGCACACATCCCCTCGAGGGACGCCCAACCGTGCTGGACCTCCCGGGCTCCCTGTTTTGGGTTGGTGACCAGGACTCCGTGCTGCTGTCCCCTGCAGATGGCCTGTACTTACTCCGCACTGAGCAAGGGCTCACCTACCAGACCTTCTGCGACATGAAAACAAATGGCGGCGGCTGGACGCTGGTGGCCAGCGTGCATGAGAACAACATGTATGGGAAGTGCACGCCAGGGGACCGCTGGACCAGCCAGCAGGGCAACCGAAAAGACACCCCCAAAGGGGAAAACAACTGGGCCAACTTCAACACCTTTGGGTCTGCAGAGGCAGCCACCAGCGACGACTACAAGGTGAGCCCCGGCCGGCCAGCACTGGGAGCATCGGGCTGGCCCAGCTTTAGCAGATGGGCTGGGCATGGGCAGAGGCATGTGGACAGAGAGACCTCTGTGTGTTGAGTGACCTCTCCTTCCATGACTCAGGGACCTGGGGCGAGCGGGGTCCTGGTCCTCTGGTTGGTGGGTCTGTGCTGTGTCCAGTTGTCTTGCTGGTGCTCTGGGCTCCATGAGGCTGTGGTATAGCCATGGGTCTCTGACCACCGCTCTGTGGGGTTTGCAGAACCCCGGCTACTACGACATCCAAGCAGGGGACCTGGCCATCTGGCATGTCCCCAACGATTCCCCTCTGACTTCCTGGAGAAACAGCTCCCTGCTGAGGTACTTCACCTACTCGGGCTTCTTCAGGAAATTCGGTGACAATCTGTTTGGCCTCTACCAGGTATGTGGGTGCAGCTGGAGGCGTTATTTTGCAGGGGATGCAGCAGCGCCAATGGTTGGGGTGAGGAATTAGTTGGCTCTGTGTCCGGTCATTAAGGTTTTCCTCGGGATTGTCCAGGGGGTTTGTCCACACTCATCTCTGTCCCTCTCTCTCTCTGTGTCTCTGTGTCTCTGTGTCTCTTTTTCTCTTTCTCTGCTGCTCCCCTACGACCTGAGCCAGGCAGAAAATTGTCTCAGGAGACGTCGGGGATGGGGTGGGTAGGGACATGGGGCTGGTGTGGGGAGACTCAGCCCCTCATACATGTGGCC